CACTGGGGGGTTGGAGTGGGCCGGACCAACGACAGGACACTGGGGGGCTGGAGTGGGCCAGACTAATGACAGGACACTGGGGGGTTGGAGTGGGCCGGACCAACAACACTACACTGGGGGTTGGAGTGGGCCGGACCAACGACAGGACACTGGGGGGTTGGAGTGGGCCGGACCAACGACACTACACTGGGGGGTTGGAGTGGGCCGGACCAACGACAGGACACTGGGGGGTTGGAGTGGGCCGGACCAACGACAGGACACTGGGGGCTTGGAGTGGGCCGGACCAACGACAGGACACTGGGGGGCTTGAGTGGGCCAGACCAATGACAGGACACTGGGGGGTTGGAGTGGGCCGGACCAACGACAGGACACTGGGGGGCTGGAGAGGGCCGGACCAACGACACTACACTGGGGGGTTGGAGTGGGCCGGACCAACGACAGGACACTGGGTGGTTGGAGAGGGCCGGACCAACGACGAGACAGGATCGGAGACAGGAGAGGGCCGGACCAACGACAGGAAACTGGGGGGCCTGGAGGTTGGCAGGACACCTCTGGAGGAACGGGAGTCGGAGTTGGCGGGGCCCCCGACTTAACAGGAACATTAGTCGTTGGGACCGCCGACGGGACACGATCTGGTGTCGGCCGGACCGCCAACAGAACACTGGGAACTGGAGTTGAAAGCATGGAAGCCGTGGCCGGGCCTGGAAGCATGGAGGCTGGGATACGAGCTGGTTCCTTGTCCTTGCGTCTCTTAAGAGTCCGTTGAAGGCTCCTTGGACCTCCAGGCGGGATCCCAGGAAGGGGTTCGAGGCTGGAGGCTGGCACTCACGGCTGCTTGAAAAAAGTCTGAGCCGGTCGGTCAACAAGCTCTTCAGTCAGGGTTTATTCGCTACCTCCATGCATGCTGTTCTGAGGGCAGGCTCTCTGGCCTCCCTGCATAAGACCCTCTTCCACTCACCATTAATGCACTCAAGAGTGTATTTCATATAACGCTCAATGTCCAAAACAAACTGGGTCGTTCTGTCAGGGTTTAGGGAAGTGGAACCAAGAGCAGTACAAAATAATGAATCAAGTATTATTAACAAATAAAACTCAATTCAATTCAAAAAAGCTGATTACAAAGAAAAACTAAACATTTACCAACCAAGGAGCAAGAGGTATAGGATCTGGAAAACACCGACAGGGACAACCATTGGAATGATGAGGACGACCCAACAAGGAGCACAAGGGAAGACAAGACTATATAGAACAAGACTAACAACAAGACAAGACGCAGCTGGAGGGGGCAAGCAGAAATAAAAGGGCAACCGGCCGTTTATATTCCATGTGCACTCTCTGTGTTTCTGTCTCATTCTGTTGCTGCTATGACACGTGCATTTCTCTACGGGGATCAATAAAGGTCTTGTCTTATCTTTTATTTAAAACTACATAATCCAGCATGCAACACTAGATGCTGTTAGTCGGATCTTAAATAGAGAACCGCAGGCACGCGTCCTAAAACCCGGAAGTAAACTTCTTCCGGTTCCTTCGACAAAAATGCAATGCAATTTCTCCATAGGATTTCATAAATGTATCGATTAGATTTATGATTAGAACATTATAAAAGTAGGGTAGACATGTGGATATTACCCGGCTGAACAAAACGTGATCCGTCTCTTAAATGTGTTTCAACCACAGACCTTATTTCAAGCTATTTTCCAAAATCCTATGGAGAAATTGCATTGCATTTTTGTCGAAGGAACCGGAAGAAGTTTACTTCCGGGTTTTAGGACGCGTCACTGCGGTTCTCTATAGCCTGCAATATAAAGTACATGTGGGACGTGTGGTATTTCATTTTTAACCCTTAAATGGTTTCTGTATCTTTGGGGATACATTCATTTTACAGGCTTTGTCAATGTGTCAAAGGGGTGCAGTAAAATGAGTATATTATGGGTGTAATATGAAATATATATAATGTGATACAAACGGGACTTTCTTATCTCATCATCAGTGGAAACTTTGAGCGTCAGGGTTATCAGGTGACCTTTGGCTTTCAGACGTACATGAAAACCACGCTGTACGTGTTTGAACTTTTGACCTGAACATGTTGATCTCTTGAGTTTGCTGCACAGAGAGGGATTGATCTGGTGGTTTGAGTTGAGGGGGTCCAGATACCAGTTTCCTCCTGTTACACCGTGGCCACAGAGAATTGTTCATTCTCACTTTCTGGCAGGTGGCCTACGCATTATTTTCTTGCTGTGCTTATTAAATGCTTGATCGTTAAAAAATAGCTTTAAGTATTCTGTGATCTGTGTTTGAAGACAGCCTCCGTGGTTTTGGCTGCATTTCCTCTCACATTTCCCTGAACCATGTCACACCGGCACAAACCCAACGGCATCTTTATCTCTTCCTCAGTTTTCTGCTCTTAGTTTGATCAGTCCGGATCCTAACTCATAACTGCAGCTCTAAAAATAAATGTGCAGCTTCCTCAGGTTAGTACCAAAGTCTGTCCAGAACCAAATATCTCAACAACTGACACAAAGAATCCAGCACCAGTCACTTTTACGCTGCTATGGAAACATTTGCACTCTCATTTGCACTATGTACATCATCTTTTTTAAATATATCCTGCTTACTGAAGTAAACTGTTATTTTGTGTTTTTTTGTAATTATAGAGTGTTCTTGCATTTTAATGTGTGTTTTGTATACCTCTGGACTGTGGGAAACAGTATTTCGATCTTTCTGTGTGTATATTTTGAGATTGACAATAAAGTTGACTTTGACCAAATGTAGCATGATCAGTTTGATTGAATATTTATTTCATTTGAATTTGATTGAAGTCTTGACAATCTGTGAGTTCTCTGTAAAACCTGGTTATCAATGTATGCAAACACAAAGTAACTACATCTGTAAAATAAATGTAGTGGAGCATAATTAGAAAATGCTCAAGTAAAGTTCAAGTACCTACTTTTCTACGTCATAGTACATGAGTAAGTACAAGTATTTACATTACACCACTGGCTATGTGTTATTTGTATGAGATATCTGATGGAGTTTGCGAAAGCTTTTATTTTGAGAGTCTGAGAGTTCCTAATCATGTCAGATTTCAGTGGGGCTTTTCCACTGACTGGTTTAAGAGAGAAAACACATTTAGAAGAAGGTACGTGTATGTATGTATTATGGGATGTTAATGTATTTTTCTTTACGTTATTTTTGTTATTTATATTCATACTGTTAATCAGAGATGGCAAAAGTACACACATCCTTTACTCAAGTAGAAGTACAGATAATCGTGTTTAAAAATACTCTGGTAAAAGTAGAAGTACTGACTAAACTTATTTACTCAAGTAAAAGTAAAGAAGTATGGGCTTTGAAATGTACTTAAAGGTAGGGTAGGTAAGTTTGAGAAACCGGCTCGAGATCGCTAGAATTTGAAAATACACGACCGGAGAAAATCTGCCACTTCCTTACAGAGCCCCTCCTCCAACACACACGAACGCGCACATGACCAATGAGGGCACCAGATAAGTTTGTGCACAGATGGAAGGCTGACAGGCAGGTAGGCCATCCAGTTATTTTAGCCGGGCCGGCTCAGATGATTGGTCGTGCTTTTTACAGTACTACGGCTTCCACAGATGATATTTCTTTATGGATTTTTTGTCAAAGCACTTCAGATATTCATTGCTATCGGGATGTTAAGAGCATTCCATTGAATATAACAAAAAGTGTGTCTCGAGCCGGTTTCTCAAACTTACCTACCCCACCTTTAAGTAAAAAGTACCCATAACTAGCAGCTGTTTTAAAGAGTACCTGACCTCCCTTTATATTAATAGAACAATAATGTCATTGTTAGCTAATGAATGTTTCCATGCTGAACAACGGCAACATGACAACGTTTTCATTGGTCCCTCTTCTTTAGAGAAGACCAGGAAATGATGGATACACGGATCGTGTTCAAATCAATAGGCACGCAATGACTCTAAATAATAATGATCACGCCACCAAACACACATTCAAACTAAAGGAACCAGCCTGTTTGGGAAATGTGAGAAGTAGAAAGTACAGGTATTTGTGTTCAACATGTAAGAAGTAGAAAGTACAGGTATTTGGGTTCAACATGTAAGAAGTAGAAAGTACAGGTATTTGTGTTCAACATGTAAGAAGTAGAAAGTATAGGTATTTGGGTTCAACATGTGAGAAGTAGAAAGTACAGGTATTTGTGTTCAACATGTAAGAAGTAGAAAGTATAGGTATTTGGGTTCAACATGTAAGAAGTAGAAAGTACAGGTATTTGGGTTCAACATGTAAGAAGTAGAAAGTACAGGTATTTGTGTTCAACATGTAAGAAGTAGAAAGTACAGGTATTTGTGTTCAACACTGTAAGAAGTAGAAAGTACAGGTATTTGTGTTCAACATGTAAGAAGTAGAAAGTACAGGTATTTGGGTTCAACATGTAGAAGTAGAAAGTACAGGTATTTTGGGTTCAAAATGTAAGAAGTAGAAAGTACAGGTATTTGGGTTTCAACATGTAAGAAGTAGAAAGTACAGGTATTTGTGTTCAACATGTAAGAAGTAGAAAGTACAGGTATTTGTGTTCAACATGTAAGAAGTAGAAAGTACAGGTATTTGGGTTTCAACATGTAAGAAGTAGAAAGTACAGGTATTTGTGTTCAAAATGTAAGAAGTAGAAAGTACAGGTATTTGTGTTCAAAATGTAAGAAGTAGAAAGTACAGGTATTTGTGTTCAAAATGTAAGAAGTCAAAGTAAAAAGTCGTCAGAAAAATAAGTAGTGGAGTAAAGTGATACCAGAAAAATGTATTACAGTAACAAAGTATTTTTACTCCACTACTTCCCACCTCTGCTGTTAATACATGTGTATTCCTATGTTATTGTATTCTTTATTATTACTTCCCGCTGCCCATGTATATTCCATTATTTTCTTGTTGCTATGACACGGGAACAGGTCCATCTTTTCGTTTAAAAAAGACTACATAAACCAGCATGCAGTGCGACGCAGCTCACTTCTGGGTCGCGGTGTTAAAAGCTGTATGTTTAGTTTTTTCTCCTCTTTGTTTGGAGCAACAGCTTGAATATTAGCACTTGTTGTACCCGTTAGCAGCCTCACAGATGGACGCGGTACACAGACACCGCTCACTGTATAAAGGAACCACTCCGCCGTGGAAGGAAACGTTCAGGAAGGTGAGGGACAACACGTTAGTTTAGCCACGACTAGCTAGCAAGCTAGTTAGCATGTAGCATGTGTCTAAAGCCAAATATTTCTGACCTTTACCCATTACCAGAAGTGATACAAGTACTCAGATTTTGTACTTCAGTAGGAGTTGAAGTACTCGGATGTTTAAGTCAAAGCAGAAGTACTCAGACCTTGTACTTTAGTAACAGTAGGAGTAGAAGTACTCAGATCTTTAAGTCAAAGTAGAAGTACTCATATCTTGTACTTCAGTAGGAGTAGAAGTACTCAGATCTGGTACTTCGGTAGGAGTAGAAGTACTCAGATCTTTAAGTCAAAGCAGAAGTACCAGAGTGTAGGAATACTCTGTTAAAAGTACATATGTGTTATTCTTTGGGATGGCTAGAGACAGCATTGTGATGACAATAGAGTTCACTTCTCTGTATTCAATAAGTTCACTGCTCTTTGTTTCCCTGCTGAGCCACTTGTTGCTGGAACAGCTGATTATAACTTGGTGTTTCTGTTGTATCTGTTAAACGTCCCGCTGTGTTCTGGTTAGGGATGGGAATCTGAAAGCAAATGTATATTCGAATATTCGACTCCCAAAAAAATGGTTAACGGAATTTACATATCCTATAAATACATTTTCAAATATTTATAGAAACCAAACCAAGTTTTCTTTGATATTTTTCTTAAGATATTTAAAATGGCACTGCCAGATACATTTAATTAATCCATTTGATAATATTTAATCAACTTAGGGGGGGGGGGGGGTGGTACCTTGGTTGCTGATTGGCTAATGGTTACACAAGACAAAACATCGTGATGACATCATAACGTGGCCAAAATCTGATCAGCTCATTTTCAGACAGGTTTTTATAGAAATGGATCAAAAAGAGAGAGAATCTTTGTTCCTGAAACTTTCAGAGTCTCTTTCCACAGAGGGGACACATATTGATGAAGAAGAGACATGAAGAAGAGGGGACACGTGTTGATGAAGAAGAGACATGAAGAAGAGGGGACACGTGTTGATGTAGAAGAGACATGAAGAAGAGGGGACACATGTTGATGTAGAAGAGACATGAAGAAGAGGGGACACATGTTGATGTAGAAGAGACATGAAGAAGAGGGGACACATGTTGATGTAGAAGAGACGTGAAGAAGAGGGGACACATGTTGATGAAGAAGAGACATGAAGAAGAGGGGACACATGTTGATGAAGAAGAGACATGGAGAAGAGGGGACACATGTTGATGTAGAGGAGACGTGAAGAAGAGGGGACACGTGTTGATGAAGAAGAGACATGAAGAAGAGGGGACACATGTTGATGAAGAAGAGACATGGAGAAGAGGGGACACATGTTGATGTAGAAGAGACGTGAAGAAGAGGGGACACGTGTTGATGAAGAAGAGACATGAAGAAGAGGGGACACGTGTTGATGTAGAAGAGACGTGAGGAAGAGGGGACACGTGTTGATGAAGAAGAGACGTGAAGAAGAGGGGACACGTGTTGATGTAGAAGAGACGTGAAGAAGAGGGGACACGTGTCGATGTAGAAGAGACGTGAGGAAGAGGGGACACGTGTTGATGAAGAAGAGACGTGAAGAAGAGGGGACACGTGTTGATGTAGAAGAGACGTGAAGAAGAGGGGACACGTGTCGATGTAGAAGAGACGTGAAGAAGAGGGGACACGTGTCGATGTAGAAGAGACGTGAAGAAGAGGGGACACGTGTCGATGTAGAAGAGACGTGAAGAAGAGGGGACACGTGTCGATGTAGAAGAGACGTGAAGAAGAGGGGACACGTGTCGATGTAGAAGAGACGTGAAGAAGAGGGGACACGTGTCGATGTAGAAGAGACGTGAAGAAGAGGGGACACGTGTCGATGTAGAAGAGACATGAAGAAGAGGGGACACGTGTCGATGTAGAAGAGACGTGAAGAAGAGGGGACACGTGTCTATGTAGAAGAGACGTGAAGAAGAGGGGACACGTGTCGATGTAGAAGAGACGTGAGGAAGAGGGGACACGTGTCGATGAAGAAGAGACATGAAGAAGAGGGGACACGTGTCGATGTAGAAGAGACGTGGAAAGGTGGATTTTGCACAATAGGTGACCTCTCAATGTCCCCGCTGTGTTCTGGTTTTAACCCTTGATGCCCAAGTGGGTCTAAAACGACCCGGTGAGGCGGTTTTCTTGAAGTATCTTCGTAATGACATTTTGTTCTGGTTGTAACTGTGTGTTTGTGTTTTATCGTTGGCAGCGCTGCGTGGACAGGCTGAAGAACAGCCGCTCGAGGCTCCTGGACAGATACCGTCAGAGTGCAGAGCTCCACCCCTCTTCCTCCTCCTCCTCCTCCTCCTCCTCTACCATCGTGCAGGAGGTGATGGAGGAGGAGTGGAGCTTCCTGCAGGAGGAGGACCGGAGGCTGCCCTCTCTTTGGGGGCCCGACGGCCGAGCAGAGGTTTTTTTTTTTTTATGTATTTATTTCAAAGAGGACCGTGCGTACAAATACATTCATCTCAGAAAAGAGAAGAGATGCCAGATGTTTAGCTAATAGATCATTTCCATCTGCAGTCCTTAGGGAGGTACACAACAATCAATCAAAAACTAAATTACCCTCCCAGCTTCTAATAATAATACTTCAATCAGGAGAGACGGTGTTGATGGAAGAATACATATTTATTGCCAGGAATACACAAATGAATGAGTTTTGGCAATTAGGCCCCGTTGTGCAGGAGTATCATTCGGGAGGGGAGACCCGATCCCATGAAACCCCCCGGGGTCTAGACACTGGTGGTGGTGAATGGATAGTTGGGTTCGGTCTGAAGGGGAGGGGCTTAGCTTGACCCTGGTGGTGGTGAATGGATAGTTGGGTTCGGTCTGAAGGGGAGGGGCTTAGCTTGACCCTGGTGGTGGTGAATGGATGGTTGGGTTCGGTCTGAAGGGGAGGGGCTTAGCTTGACCCTGGTGGTGGTGAATGGATAGTTGGGGTCGGTCTGAAGGGGAGGGGCTTAGCTTGACCCTGGTGGTGGTGAATGGATAGTTGGGTTCGGTCTGAAGGGGAGGGGCTTAGCTTGACCCTGGTGGTGGTGAATGGATGGTTGGGTTCGGTCTGAAGGGGAGGGGCTTAGCTTGACCCTGGTGGTGGTGAATGGATAGTTGGGGTCAGTCTGAAGGGGAGGGGCTTAGCTTGACCCTGGTGGTGGTGAATGGATGGTTGGGTTCGGTCTGAAGGGGAGGGGCTTAGCTTGACCCTGGTGGTGGTGAATGGATAGTTGGGGTCAGTCTGAAGGGGAGGGGCTTAGCTTGACCCTGGTGGTGGTGAATGGATGGTTGGGTTCGGTCTGAAGGGGAGGGGCTTAGCTTGACCCTGGTGGTGGTGAATGGATGGTTGGGTTCGGTCTGAAGGGGAGGGGCTTAGCTTGACCCTGGTGGTGGTGAATGGATAGTTGGGGTCGGTCTGAAGGGGAGGGGCTTAGCTTGACCCTGCTGGTGGTGAATGGATAGTTGGGTTCGGTCTGAAGGGGAGTGGCTTAGCTTGACCCTGCTGGTGGTGAATGGATAGTTGGGTTCGGTCTGAAGGGGAGTGGCTTAGCTTGACCCTGGTGGTGGTGAATGGATAGTTGGGGTTGGTCTGAAGGGGAGGGGCTTAGCTTGACCCTGGATTCAGAGGGACAGGAGGTGAAAAGGGGTGGAGGAGGGTTGCGTCACCTGAAATGACAGCTGTCAGAGGGGAGAGCAGATTTAAAAGGTATTGTGGAGCGCTGTGATAGGCTTATGAGAATAGAGCGAAGTGATTGGTTAAGCTGGGGAGTGACGCCCCCGATCACTTATTGAGAGGAGAGAGAGAGTAGTAACATGGACATAGTAAATGAATGAGTAAAGACGGTCTTCCTGGTTGAACTTGCGCTGAGCTTCATTAATAATAATACACTTTATTTGTAGAGCACCTTTCATGCAAACGCAATGTGCTCTACAGAACAAGAAGAACACATAACAACACTATTAAACTAAATAGAGCACAATATAAAACATCAACAGTGATCCTGATGACATTCCCGTGAATTAAAGCTGACAAGAAATTAAAATAGGTTAAAATAAAACAATTAAAAAGCAAAACAGAAACAATACAGTAAAACATGGACAATGATACCGGTGAGAATTGAAAGTTAACCCAAATGAAAAGCCATATTAAAAAGATATATATTTTTTTCTAAAAGGCAACTCAAAGTGAAGATGGCATTTTAAAAACAGTCTTTTAAAAGCAAAGGGAATGAAAATAAGCATAAAACCAGCTCATACAGAATAACACATGAATAAATGCTACAGGACAGAGATATGAATAGTTACATTAAAAGCAACAAGAAAAGTCTCCAGCCTGGATTTAAAAGGACCTGCAGGTTTCAGTTTGTTTTGCATAATAACTGAACTTCTGGATGGTTCATAATGTAGCAGCAGATCAGAACAAACCATGCAATGCTTTATATGAAGTCTCTTTTAGCTTTCAATACCAAACACATTAGGGACAACAACACATAATATAAATGTCAACAAAAACAGACGAACAGCAACAGTAGCAGCCTAATCACTCATGTGTGAGTACTTATCATAGTATGAAGTCTCTGACAGGAAGCCAGTGTAAAGACCTCAGAACTGCATTGATGTGAAGAATTATGTTGGAAGTAATCAGACAAAAGTGCCACTAGTCGTTTTGATTCAAAATATATATATATACAAATATGTATATATATATATATATATATATATACACACAATCAACAGACACATTTGTACATATGCACACCCTAACCCTCCGGTATCATTCGGTTGGACTACGCAAATTAGTCATTTGGAACAAAAATGTCCCGAATGACTAATGTGTGAGTTTTTAGTTTGATCTGATTCTGTGCCAAAGCTAATAATGCAAACAAATAAATGTTGTTGCTAATCTTTGTCATATCCAAGACTGTTATATATATATATATATATTAAAAAAAAAAGAGAAGCCAGTCCCCAGATATGTATTATATGGAAAAGAACTCCTTTTCTCTGTTTTCATCATGAAAAACAACAGCGATTCAAAATGGCATTTAAAGGGTTAAAATCCTGAAAGTGATTACTTTTCTGATCAGAGCTCAAGTTGCTTTAAAGTGGTGAAAAAAATATTTTAATATAATGTTTTTATCAAAGTCTTTTGCAGTGGACACCTTCGTCTGGAATGGTCAATAAGCGTAGTGGATTTGTGACAGCGTGAATTAAAGACCGATGTGAAAACATTTAAATTGGAATTCCAAAATAGATAGAGTAAATAGCCGTGTTACAAAAAATCAGGCCCTTTGCACCAACACAACCAAAGTGATTGCAAAATGAAACGTGAAAAATGACCCATATGGACAAAAACGTCCACAGTGATACCGGAGGGAGCAAGCTGCCGTCGAATATCAAGGCTGTGGAATAAACGCTTGAACGGCTGCACAGATTCAGTTTATAGCGTCAGTCCCCATTGATCAACTGTCACTAAAAACAGTAAATGGGGCAGTTTTAGTCAACATGGCTAATTTCCAGCTGTTGTCCAGATGATAATACACACTAGGGCTGTGCGATTATGGCAAAAATCATAATCACGATTATTTGGGTCAATAATTGATATCACGATTATTAAATACGATTATTCATTGACTTTGAAAAAATCAATTTATTGAACTTTAAAACAAATACAAATAATAATTTGAACAGTATCTTTTGAACTGTTGATTACCCTGAACGTATAATTCAACTGAAAAACCAATATTATACATTTAAATAAATAATATCAAAATAATAAATACCAATAAACAAGATCAACAAATATTTTGCACAACTTCCACAAGCTACTAAACATATATAAATATGATAAATACAAATAAATGAGACCAAAATTAACTGTCACAACCAAGCAAAGCTAAATAATTGTTTTTTTCGATTATGTTGTTTTCGTAATTGTGGCAGGCCAAAATCGTAATTGCGATTAAAATACGATTAATTGCACAGCCCTACCATATGGACAAAAACGTCCACAGTGATACCGGAGGGAGCAAGCTGCCGTCGAATATCAAGGCTGTGGAATAAACGCTTGAACGGCTGCACAGCTTCAGTTTATAGCGTCAGTCCCCATTGATCAACTGTCACTAAAAACAGTAAATGGGGCAGTTTTAGTCAACATGGCTGATTTCCAGCTGTTGTCCAGATGATAATACACACCTTTCTAAAATCACAGCATTAGTTCTGAAGACAGGATGAGAGACGAGTAGATGCATACTTTGTGTTTCTGAGTACGTTTCCTTTCCACCCGCAGACGTTGGGGCTCATGCAGGAGTACGATGAACTGTCAGTGCTGGAGGAGATCCAACAGGAGCTCAGATCTCAAGGTAAAGCACCATTTTAAAACCAGCTGCTTCATTTTTTCATGTTATTATGGTTTTCTTAAAATAGTTCTCTCTGTTTTACATTTTTGTTTTGCACCACAACATCAAGTCAAACTCCTCGTACGTGCCAACCTACCTGATTACAGTCACATATCAGAAGGACCATAGATGATTGTGTTTACTTCTGCAGATGCACTCCAAACAGAACATGAGGGAGGATGGGTTATACACTGCAGTCCTCTCTAGGTGCAGTTAGCGTGGCATTCATTGAAGAGAGAGAGCTAACTAAGGGTATTGTAGCGTACGTGTTATCCCTGAACGAATACTTTTAATTTGGGCGCCAGACACAGGAATATTTAATATAGCCAGCTGTCAAAAAATGATATGCTTTAAACACGCAGAAACAGAGGGATAGACCTCTACTGACGTTTACAAAGGAAAAATAATAATCAACCAATTCACTTTCAACATAAAATGTCTGTATTTTTAAACCCAAATAATAATCAGTACATTAAACAAACAACTCATGGCACAGACCATTCACCAGAAAAACTTAAATCCAGTCGATGCACAAATAACTAAATCACATTAACTCACAAACATCAATCACTCATGTGACTCCGAGAGCCTACGATTGTTTAAATCATGGGGATTGACTGTGAGTGAGTGTGTGGGGGGGAGAAGTCTTTTGTGTCCTTTGTCACTCAGTTTAAAGAGTGTAGTTCAGGGGATAGGGATGAGTGAAAGTAAAGTTGTAAAGCTCTGTTTTTCCAAACACTAAACCATGGCTTGGAAAATGATCAGTGGAGAGTGTGGTGGAAATTCAACACTTTACACGAGAACGAAACGGGTTGCGTCTGCTACTTTTCTCTCGTGTATAGCCCCACCTCTGCTGCTCACAGCTGTAGCATGGTCAGTAGCATGGTCAGTAGCTACTGACCATGCTACAGCTGTTAGTGCAACATCTACAGCTCCTCTACCACAACCATCAGCAACAAGTGGACATGGAGAACTAGATGAACTACATGAACTAAATCCACCGCGGAGAATAAACAGAAGGGCAACCATGCAGGGAGGTCTTCTTCGCTGCTTTTGGTGTATTTTGTGGCGGAAGTACAGCGCCACTTACAGGCCCGGCATATGTACTACAACGTCTCCAGCGGTCTCGTGTGAACGGACACGTTAAATGTGCCGAATGCGTGTGAACGGAAGACTTTTTTGATAACGAATTCTGTGTAAATGTTTCATTTAATTTATTTAATTTAATCGTGTATTTGACATGCACATTAATGAACACTTTAGACAAATAATGCTTCAAGTGTAAATATGCTGGATTTTAGCTTTGAAATGGGGTCTAATCACCTTCTGGTAAGAAAAGAACAAATATACAATCTTAAACCAAAGTTGTGTTATTTGATAGCGAGTTATAGCATTTAAAAGAATCAATGTATTTCCAGCTGGAAGGACAGATAACCTGAACCTCCATCAAACAAATGACACGACTCTTTAAGGGAAGGGAGCAAAAGACATGTTAAGTATAACCGATGATAATTTGCCTGCCAGCAGTCACAGTGGCACCTGCTGTCTGTTGAGAGCTAGAGAACAAGAGGCAGCCAGTCTGTGTATTGAAGGTGTGTAGAGGCCTGGGAGTGACAGCCGTAGTTTACATCAAACTGAACCTGTGATAAAAACCCAAGAAAGAAAGTAAGTTACAGTGACATGTATATAATTAAATGAGACTCAGGGTAAATGTCTACGATACAGAGTAGAGAAACATTAGATCTGTAGTGAAATGAACACGTCCAGATGTATCAAGAGCTGCTGGTTCTTTCAGAACTGTCCATCCTTGAGGAGCTGGAGAGGAACGTTCAGATGGAGCAGCAGTACATCAGCTGTGTGGTGGAGGGCATGCAGGAGCAGAGACTCATCATCTGCCCCCTGTGTCACATGTGAGTCACATGACCATCATGCATTTACTTTACTTATCAAGTCACATTTAACAAACACAGTCACAGATTGGTGGAGTTATGACTTGGAGGGTGGGGGTTTCGAGGGGAAAAACCAGTGTGAAGAGGTGGGGTTTGAGGGCTTGGTTCATTACCTACCTACCTACTAGGGATGCCAGAAACTGACCATGATCAAAATCGGACAGCCCTGGCGAATATTAATCGATTATTCGACACCCCCCCCCCCCCCCACCCCCCCCCCCCCCCCCCGCCCCTGCGGGAGAGAACCTACCTACCTACCTACCTACCCACCTACCTACCCACCTACCCACCCACCTAGCCACCTACCCACCTACCCACCTACCTACCTACCTACCTACCTAGCCACCTACCCACCTACCCACCTACCTACCTACCCACCTACCCACCTACCCACCTACCCACCTACCTACCTACCGGAGGTCAGAGAGATTGTTGAGGGCCACCTTGTTAAGGGCTTTGAAGGTGGGAGTGATGTAGTCGATTCTGTAGTTGACTGGGAGCCGGTGGAGGTTCTTGGAGGTCTGGAGTGATGTGGTCTCGGCGGCAGGTGGAGGGTCAGCAGGAGGGTGGAGGAGATCTGGACGTATGGCAGTTTATTGGTGGTTTTGTAATCACTGCTATAACCCAGTCATGTCTTCTTATCTTTAGTTAGTTTCAGCTGCACTTAATTCTTCCATTAGTGGTAGAGGTAAACATCAATCAATCCCTGCTGGCGTTAGTTTATCACAAATCAAACACACTCTTTTGTCCCACAGGAACAACTTGAACATCAACTGCCATTTTGTCTCCTGCTGCTGTGGACTGTACATCGACACTAAGGTTTGTGTGTTTCTTCCATTCAAAGACTCACGGGTGGACTCTTACCACTCATTACACAGACACGTTTTAAGGCACAGACATTTTCTATTCTGTGCCTTAAAGAAAAGCTCATGCTGGCTTTATGAACAGGTTTGAATCAAAATAACATCTGCGTTTTTCTGTGAATGATTTGGATTAAAGTTTATTTTAACATTTCTCATTATTTTGGGATAGTTAGTTATAATAACAATACAGGGTTTTTTCTTGAAAGATATAGTATGAGCACTGCGTCTCTGATCTTGTTTATAAGACATATCAACAACAACATGACGCTCGTATACAAGATGTCTCCTCACGTAAACAACAACGTGACGTCGGAGCTCCGTAAACAGAGCTGTCTCTGCCGCCTGACGCTCTGTTTCATACTCGTATTTCTGGAGTCATTATACCGTTTTTAACGAACGGAAATATTGTTTTCTGATCACTTTCACATTTTACGGGGAAATAAATCAGCTTTTTGGTTTGAGGGCGCAGAACTCCTGTTACCCGGTGCAGACTAAACCCTGGCAATGAGATAGAAACACATACTTATGGATACTTTTTCAATTACCGTATTGAGCCGAATATAAGACGACCCCTCTTTTTCTAGACTCATCTTTGGAAAAATACCTTTTTGAAATCTAGTTTTAATAAAGAAAATACGTTTATTTTATTGATCTTTTTGGGCCATCTTCTATCGTTACTCTCAGTAACTCCACATTTCTTTGATGCTCGACCGTTGTTTGATAACTTCGTTAATCTCCATTGGCATCGTAACTTCTCTTGTTTATTAACCCTCCTACTTTTGATCCACTTTGTTGGTCTCTGTGTCTCCATCTCTCTCCTGTTGCTGTGCGCTGTTACTTTCAGGTGTCTCTCTTAGGAAACACTCGTTTGGCGCCATCTGTTGGTGTGACTGTGTAATTACATCAAAAAGTCTAGACCCCGAATATAAGACGACCCCTTTTTGTCAGATTTTTCTCTAGGGGAAAAACCTGTCTTATATTCGGGGTCAATACGGTAATGGCTTTTCTTGAACCTGTTTGGTTGTGTGTTCAGAACCAGAACATCACCCCGGACCTCCTGCAGAGTCTCCTGGAGGCCCGGGTGTCGGAGCACATGGAGGATTGTCTGCAGAACCCTGTGTTCTCTGTCGCCCCCCCCACTGACGGCTCCCCCAGCCTGATGATCAGCTGCAAGGTAAGAAGATTTCTACCAATTAAAATCTGCTGCTGGTCGTCTGGGTGGTTAATCACTGGTTCTTACTAACACAATGGTTCAGGTATTGTGCGTTCATTTTGTTGATGAGGGGGGGAATGATAATGTCTGTAATACGTTGATGATGTTTGCACAATATGAAAATCGATAGCATCAAGAAATCGTATGTCCTGTTGGTGTCCAGGGAGGGCATGAAGGATTAACCCTGATGTGCAACAGGTGCAGTTATGTGAGCGTCTCCATGTGTGTTTTATTTATGTTATGTCTTTGAAAAAAACCACCTGCTTCTGGAAGCTTCAAATACGTGGCTCCGTATGAACAGAACTTCCTTTAGAAGGCAAGTTTGCAGAGGTGAGAAGTAACTAAGTACATTAAGTACATACTCAAGTACTGTACGTTCATTTTGATGTACTTGTACTTTACTTGAGTATTTCCATTTTATGCTACTTTGTACTTCTACTCCACTACAGTTCAGAGGTACATGGTGTGCTTTTACTCCACTACACTTATTTAATACCTTTAGTTAGAGTACATCTACTTTTACTCAAGTACAAGATCTGAGTACTTCTACTTTTACTCAAGTACAAGATCTGAGTACTTCTACTTTTACTCAAGTACAAGATCTGAGTACTTCTACTTTTACTCAAGTACAAGATCTGAGTACTTCTACTTTTACTCAAGTACAAGATCTGTGTACTTCTACTTTTACTCAAGTACAAGATCTGAGTACTTCTACTTTTACTCAAGTACAAGATCTGTGTACTTCTACTTTTACTCAAGTACAAGATCTGAGTACTTCTACTTTTACTCAAGTACAAGATCTGAGTACTTCTACTTTTACTCAAGTACAAGATCTGAGTACTTCGTTTAAGAGAACATAATTGGAATGTATACATTTTAGGTAATTATATATTTGAAAAATGTTACGTTTTTCTCCCATTTTATTTTTTCTGATTTTCAACATTTTTTACTTTAATAATTGAGATTTTTCATTAAAGAGTTTACATGTTATGATGTTTTATTACAAAAACAGCTTTTTAATAGTTTGGGGAAAAATAAACTGCCATCTTTGAACATTTCCTTAAAAGGGGACCTATCATGCAAAATGCACTTTTGTACGTCTTTTCTACATGAATATGTGTCCCCGGTGTTCCAGGGAACTCACCAAGTGTCAGAAAACACAACCCTCTCTATTTTCCTCCATACCCAAATCTCTAAAAAAGGGGCTGCAACGGATCTGATAAAAACTGATCCAGATTTGAACACTGTCCTGACGTCAGGACGGTGGCGCTACGGCTATTGGGCCAACTCCACCAATCAGGAGGAGACAGCCACGGCCATTGCCGTTCGAAAGCGCTGGAGACGCTGTAGTACATATGCCAGGCCTGTAGGTGGTGCTGTTCTCACTGAATCTGCCCTTGCTAAAACAGGGGTAAAAAAGTGCAAATAGAGCGAAATGAGGCATGGCTAAAATGCATGATCTGTTTGGTATTTTGAAAAAAAAAAAGTATAAATATGCCTTATATAGGTATGGTCCTACACTATATTATTATAATATCGCATGATAGGTCCACTTTAATTTATTTTGAATAATTTTGGGTGTTTTTGTCATTTATTTTAGACTTTAATGCAATGTGTACTTTTAGAGATGGGTGTACTTGTAACAGAGTATTTGTACAGTGTAGTTTTAGTACTTTTACCTGAGAGCATCTGAACACTCTCTGCCTATAGGCCTCTATGAAGATCCAGCTGGAGTTAATTGGTGTTTTCTGCTTTCAGGTGTGCGACTACCTGTCCATCGTCCTGTGACTGTGACTACCTGTCCATCGTCCTGTGACTGTGACTACCTGTCCATCGTCCTGTGACTGTGACTACCTGTCCATCGTCCTGTGACACTTATGAATTCATTGATTTGTACTATTTGTATATTTTGTGTAATAAAGACTATTTATTTTATATATGAAATGTGTTCATGTGTTTTAATAAGCTACCTCCTTTTAATAACTAACATTTCGGTGCGGGGATGTTGACATTGACACAATACAATTTCAGTCACAGATTGGTGGAGTTATGACTTGGAGGGTGGGGGTTTCGAGGGGAAAAACTAGTGTGAAGAGGTGGGGTTTGAGGGCTTGGTTCATTGCCCAATTTCTTATAGGGAGGGTATACCCACCGACCCACCTACCCACCTACCTACCCACCTACCTACCTACCCACCTACCCACCTACCGACCCACCTACCCACCTACCCACCTACCTACCTACCTACCCACCCACCTACCCACCCACCTACCCACCTACCTACCTACCCACCCCACCTACCCACCTACCGACCCACCTACCCACCTACCCACCTACCTACCTACCTACCCACCCACCTACCCACCCACCTACCCACCTACCTACCTACCCATCCACCTACCCACCTACCTACCTACCTACCTACCCCACCCACCTACCCACCTACCCACCTGCCCACCTACCCACCCACCTGCCCACCTACCTACCTACCTACCCATCCACCTACCCACCTACCTACCCACCCACCCACCTACCTACCTACCTACCCACCTACCGTACTCAGGTACAAGATCTGAGTACTTCTACTTTTACTGAAGTACAAGATCTGAGTACTTCTACTTTTACTGAAGTACAAGATCTGAGTACTTCTACTTTTACTCAAGTACAAGATCTGAGTACTTCTACTTTTACTAAAGTACAAGATCTGAGTACTTCTACTTTTACTCAAGTACAAGATCTGTGTACTTCTACTTTTACTCAAGTGCAAGATCTGAGTACTTCTACTTTTACTCAAGTACAAGATCTGAGTACTTCTACTTTTACTCAGGTACAAGATCTGAGTACTTTTACTCAAGTACAAGAACTGAGTACTTCTACTTTTACTCAAGTACCAGAACTGAGTACTTCTACTTTTACTCAAGTACCAGAACTGAGTACTTCGTTTAAGAGAACATAATTGGAATGTATACATTTTAGGTAATTATATATTTGAAAAATGTTACGTTTTTCTCCCATTTTATTTTTTCCGATTTTCAAAATTTTTTACTTTAATAATTGAGATTTTTCATTAAAGAGTTTACATGTTATGATGTTTTATTACAAAAACAGCTTTTTAATAGTTTGGGGAAAAATAAACTGCCATCTTTGAACATTATTTTAAAGGGGACCTATCATGCAAAATGCACTTTTGTACGTCTGTTCTACATGAATATGTGTCCCCGGTGTTCCAGGGAACTCACCAAGTGTCAGAAAACACAACCCTCTCTATTTTCCTCCATACCCAAATCTCTAAAAAAGGGGCTGCAACGGATCTGATAAAAACTGATCCAGATTTGAACACTGTCCTGACGTCAGGACGGTGGCGCTACGGCTATTGGGCCAACTCCACCAATCAGGAGGAGACAGCCACGGCCATTGCCGTTCGAAAGCGCTGGAGACGCTGTAGTACATATGCCAGGCCTGTAGATGGTGCTGTTCTCACAGAATCTGCCCAGAGCTAAAACAGGGGTAACATTTTTCAAATTGAGCGAAATGAGGCATGGCTAAAATGCATGATCTGTTTGGTGTTTTGAAAAAAAATGGTATAAATATGCCTTATATAGGTATGGTCCTACACTATATTATTCAAATATCGCATGATAGGTCCACTTTAATTTATTTTTGAATAATTTTGGGTGTTTTTGTCATTTATTTTAGACTTTAATGCAATGTGTACTTTTAGAGATGGGTGTACTTGTAACAGAGTATTTGTACAGTGTAGTTTTAGTACTTTTACCTGAGAGCATCTGAACACTCTCTGCCTATAGGCCTCTATGAAGATCCAGCTGGAGTTAATTGGTGTTTTCTGCTTTCAGGTGTGCGACTACCTGTCCATCGTCCTGTGACTGTGACTACCTGTCCATCGTCCTGTGACTGTGACTACCTGTCCATCGTCCTGTGACTGTGACTACCTGTCCATCGTCCTGTGACACTTATGAATTCATTGATTTGTACTATTTGTATATTTTGTGTAATAAAGACTATTTATTTTATATATGAAATGTGTTCATGTGTTTTAATAAGCTACCTCCTTTTAATAACTAACATTTCGGTGCGGGGATGTTGACATTGACACAATACAATTTCAGTCACAGATTGGTGGAGTTATGACTTGGAGGGTGGGGGTTTCGAGGGGAAAAACTAGTGTGAAGAGGTGGGGTTTGAGGGCTTGGTTCATTGCCCAATTTCTTATAGGGAGGGTATACCCACCGACCCACCTACCCACCCACCTACCCACCTACCCACCTACCCACCTACCTACCTACCCACCCACCTACCTACCTACCTACCCACCTACCCACCCACCTACCCACCCACCTACCCACCTACCCACCTACCTACCTACCCACCCACCTACCCACCTACCCACCCACCTACCCACCTACCCACCTACCGACCCACCTACCCACCTACCTACCTACCTACCTACTCAGTACCAGAACTGAGTACTTCATTTAAGAGAACATAATTGGAATGTATACATTTTAGGTAATTATATATTTGAAAAATGTTACGTTTTTCTCCCATTTTATTTTTTCCGATTTTCAAAATTTTTTACTTTAATAATTGAGATTTTTCATTAAAGAGTTTACATGTTATGATGTTTTATTACAAAAACAGCTTTTTAATAGTTTGGGGAAAAATAAACTGCCATCTTTGAACATTATTTTAAAGGGGACCTATCATGCAAAATGCACTTTTGTACGTCTTTTCTACATGAATATGTGTCCCCGGTGTTCCAGGGAACTCACCAAGTGTCAGAAAACACAACCCTCTCTATTTTCCTCCATACCCAAATCTCTAAAAAAGGGGCTGCAACGGATCTGATAAAAACTGATCCAGATTTGAACACTGTCCTGACGTCAGGACGGTGGCGCTACGGCTATTGGGCCAACTCCACCAATCAGGAGGAGACAGCCACGGCCATTGCCGTTCGAAAGCGCTGGAGACGCTGTAGTACATATGCCAGGCCTGTAGGTGGTGCTGTTCTCACTGAATCTGCCATCTCTCTCCATCGTCCTGTGACTGTGACTACCTGTCCATCGTCCTGTGACTGTGACTACCTGTCCATCGTCCTGTGACTGTGACTACCTGTCCATCGTCCTGTGACTGTGACTACCTGTCCATCGTCCTGTGACTGTGACTACCTGTCCATCGTCCTGTGACTGTGACTACCTGTCCATCGTCCTGTGACTGTGACTACCTGTCCATCGTCCTGTGACAGTTATGAATTCATTGATTTGTGCTATTTGTATATTTTGTGTAATAAAGACTATTTATTTTATATATGAAATGTGTTCATGTGTTTTAATAAGCTACCTCCTTTTAATAACTAACATTTCGGTGCGGGGATGTTGACATTGACACAATACAATTAAATGTGATAAACATAGAAGATCCTGTGCTGTTTTTCTCTCTGCTGCTGCTTTCACTCCTGAACCTCAGGGATACATACATCTCCGTCTTATCGTATATATAGAATAACAACATTTAACCAGAGGAAACATCTCCATACCTGTTCATGAAAGACATGTACGTAATCACAGTTGGCTCTCCTGATAAAACATGAGGACGTTGATCGGTAAGCTATTCACGGAGCTACTTGCATTTGCTTAACCCTAAAATAAAAATCATAAAAATATCAGATTATTCCAGAAGAAGATTAGGGCCACATGAGAGACATGTTGGGAACAAAAGTAAAACATGAATGTGAGTTCTGACTTTGACGTGCAAAAGCATTTATACCTTCAAAAACCTTAATGAATGTTGTATAACCAGCAGGGAAGAGTTACAGGATGTTTTATTTTCATTTTAGCCTAATGTATTAACGATTAAAGGTGGGGTAGGTAAGTTTGAGAAACCGGCTCGAGATACACTTTTTGTTATATTCCATGGAATGCTCTTAACATCCCGATAGCAATGAATATCTTAAAGGAGACCTATCATGCTATATTTGAATAATATAGTGTAGGACCATACCTATATAAGGCATATTTATACTTTTTTGTTTTCAAAATACCAAACAGATCATGCATTTTAGCCATGCCTCATTTTGCTCAATTTGCACTTTTTTTTAGCTCTGTTCTGCAAGGGCAGATTCAGTGAGAACAGCACCACCTACAGGCCTGGCATATGTACTACAGCGTCTCCAGCGCTTTCGAACGGCAATGACCGTGGCTGTCTCCTCCTGATTGGTGGAGTTGGCCCAATAGCCGTAGCGCCACCGTCCTGACGTCAGGACAGTGTTCAAATCTGGATCAGTTTTTATTTAGTTTGTTGATTGTTGTGTACCTCCCTAAGGACTGCAGATGGAAATGAGCTATTAGCTAAACATCTGGCATCTCTTCTCTTTTCTGAGATTAATGTATTTGTATGCATGGTACTTGTTGAAATAAATACATCAATAATAATAAAAGTTACTTCTTTATTTAATACGTTTTAAATGTCAACATCAAACATTTTTACCTGATTTCTTTTTTTTTGTATTGTTGTTTTTTCACCAGACAATATTGTTAAGTAGTTATTATTCATGATAGGTCCCCTTTAAGTAATTAGCATTTAGTTTCAGATTGAGACGACATTTTCCATTTTATAGTGTCGGTTTTATTTAACGACATTAACCTCGTGATGATACACAGAGCAGGGAGAGACACTTTAAAGGTCACCTATTGTGAAAAATCCACATCTCCATGTCTCTTCTTCATCAACATGTGTCCCCTCTTCTTCATGTCTCTTCTTCATCAACATGTGTCCCCTCTTCTCCATGTCTCTTCTTCATCACCATGTGTCCCCTCTTCTTCATGTCTCTTCTTCATCAACATGTGTCCCCTCTTCTCCATGTCTCTTCTACATCACCATGTGTCCCCTCTTCTTCATGTCTCTTCTTCATCAACATGTGTC